TGAGAAAAACGCGAAAAAACGTAACGTCATTCGGCTTAATGTCGCTGCAGGGGCACACAGTGCGGTCTAGATATATTGGCCGATATCTTTGGTCACCTAAGAGATGACGTTCGACTGAGCGTACAGAAAAGAAAGGGCTAACTCACGCGCTCGAGAGGTCGACTTTTCATGCTATTGTTGTTTATTATAGAGAATTGTGGCACGTTCACGCCTATGAGGTCTATGAGAAATGCATTTTTCTTCCCGTTTTTTGTGTTAGTTTGTATCTGAAGTGTTTGTTAGGCCGTTTTCGGAAAAGTTGCGAAGAGCTGAGGATTTTTCACGGCATTATCCGATAATTGGTAGTCGAGCTTATAGCGTGGATTCTAAAAATACGAACAAACGATGTGCCCCGCTTCCAAGTTATTCACTTAAAATTCCAAATAGAACTCAAAAGTTAGCTGAACATCAGTAACTTGAATCACAGATGATTAGTGATGCATTCAATCGTTTATCGAACAATGTGTTACATACAAAATAACTATATTTTCAAATGTTGCATGCGTTCCACTCAGCGAATAATTATTACTTAATAATATGCGTACACCTTGAAATCTTCGAGTTTCGGTCAATTATATGAAGCGTATACACATCGCACTTGTGATGGGATACATACGTCTATGAGAGTACTTTGGTTAGCGGTAGATACGAACCTGGCAATGTTACCGATGTAATACGAAAAAAAGTTAAGAGAAATGTTTGCTGTATGCCAGCCACACAAGTAAAACAATATCATGGAACGTAAAAGAAGGTTGCGATCCAAGCAGAAAGATAAATAAAAAGTAATCAATAAACAGGGTGAACTGGCTTATCGACGTATAGCGTGAGTGCGGGTAATATAAGAAAGGATCACGAAATCGGTGAGGTGCCAAGTAGGCTAAGCTAGCCAGTCATTGGCCTCGAGCCCATTTAATTATTTGCAGTCTTCTCCTTCTTTCATACATATAATGTCAGGCATAAAAAGTGTAATATCAGTCAGCCACAAAGCTTGCAACGTGTATCTCGGGATTGAGAACCATTCTAATTAGGTGATGTTTTACGATCTTCAATTATTAAGCAGCAAGCAGCCTTCTATTACATTGAGTCGATGGACAGTTCACTTTTATTATGCATAAAAATGGGTTCATCATACTCTTACTCTTACCGTTCAAAGTTATGCGTTCGTTTACAGATACTCTCGCTTTATGCTGTAACAATATTTATGTCAACGCGGAAGCAATGTTTATTTTGTGGAGAACATTCCAGTGGAAAGAAACGTCAACAAGCACAAATCTTTTCGTCAGTTACACTCGCGAATGGATAATCAGTTGGATTCCGCGCGGTAAAGCCAGATCAGAAAACCGAAGAATCATCCCCTTCCCTACCAAAAAGTGCGCTCAAGTTTACCAGCGAAAAGGGCAACGCACCCGTCCGACAAACTTTCCTTACAAGTCGGCCAAAAGCGCCGCTCGCTTGTTTCTCTTGCTCTCTGCCGCGCGAGTGAGGTGTCTCTCGTCCTCTCTTCCTCTCGCGGCTGTTATAAAATCGCGCGTCGAATGTGGAGTACATGAGCCGTGTCGAGGCCGAACAACACATTAGTCAAAGGCAGTTTACGTGGCGAGTAAGAGAGAGAGAGAGAGAGAGAGAGAGAGAGAGAGAGAGAGAGAGAGAGAGCGTATTTGTGAGCTGTCTGCCAATTTGTTTCAGCGGTGTGGCTGACAAATGCATTTCGTGCCGGAACCGGTCGCTACCCTCTCTTCTCTCTTACTCTATCGCTACGACCGTTGCTGCTGGGCAGGAGATGTCTTGAATTTTGCCGACGTTCTAGATAATTTTCAGTTGCTGTTTTAAAGCTGTGTACACAACAAACGAACATTATTACCAAAGTTTTCATTTATTCTTTACGATATTGCCTCAAAAGAGTTGAATAAAGCTGTGACTTTAACTTCAAAGATTCAATAATAAAATGTAAATGAGATTAATCTTCGATAACAAACTATAGTTCTACAGGTGTTTTTAATCATATATGTTATTATGTGAATAGAGCCGCTTCATGTAATTTTTTCTTAATTTTTAACTCTAACTTTTGAAATAGGAGGTCTCTACATCAACCAGTAAGATTTTTATACATGGATAAATAAATTTAAGCTTTCTTTTAAAAAAAAAATTAAATTCGAATTCATTTCATGTTGTATAAGTTCAAAGTGTTTGAATGGAAACAACACTTGTATAATAATATTTCAAGAAATGATACGAGAAATTCAATATAAGTATCCAGTAAAGCAATTCTAGAAAGAACATTGATTTTAACACATGAAAAAGATACGAAAACTCTACAGCAAAGAGCCACTGAAGTTTAAAAAAAAAAGTATAAAAGCCAAGAGAGGACACAGCTTGCAGCCCTTATTTAGGTTACTAAGCTGTAAACAAATTCTCGCCTTGTAGTTTCGGTAGCTCCGAGTAGTGGATCAATAATCGATCGGCTTAACGGAGTCCGAGAGGGCAGAGACCCCGCTTGCGAAGCTTTCAGTGTGCATCCGACCGATTGCACACACGGATTCCCTCGAATTGACGAGAACGAGAGAGAGAGAGAGAGAGAGAGAGAGAGAGAGAGAGAGAGAGAGAGAGAGAGAGAAGCCGAGAGTGTTCATTAATACCTTCGAATCTAGTCTATTTTTAACGGGCGAACTGGTTCGTTATATTAGCAACTTTGTCGCGGCGGAATGTTAAAACGCTGTAAACCTGTGCACTCCATTAAAATGTAACGCAACCAAGTGAAAAAAAAAACTTGTTCGCTTAGCCGTGTACCAACGTTAAATTATCACAGCCACAGCGACGACGATGCTCATTAAGGTCTTTTTGAAGTTTTCGATGCGTGCCTTGCCGCGGAGTAAACTCTCCACTGCGACGGTTTTCTTGCCAACTGATCGAAAATCGAATTCCTTTGAGGATTTGAATTTTAACGCTCGAGACCTGATAATTTATACTGAATTTAATTGTTTCAGTGGGTTTATTTAGCCGCGAATGACATACATTGCACATAAATAAGGTTGATTCGCTAGCTTATACGTCGAGACGTAATCATGTGATGCATACATTACCAGCTATAAATCGCAGAAAACATAAGAACTTCGCTGAAGCAGACATGCCTCAATGAACTTCGGATCATTCAATTTCAAAGCCGTAGGATTATTGCTTACGTAACGGAAACTTGACAAAAATTAAATCTCGGATATGAAATATCAGTCGCTTGAACGGCGCACGAGCAAGATCCGAAGATATTTCTTTCTCCTTAAAGCTCGAGTACGAGCAGCTTCTGACCATGCACAGAGGTGCGAGAAATGCGGGCGCGGGAATTTCCGTGTTTCGCGTACCGAAGAAAGCATCTGCGCTTGATACTTCTCTCACACACGCTCTGGACACCTCATTCGCGATAAATATAAAATGCAAATAAAGTTACACGCATTCGAGAGATCGAGTATAGCTCGTTAAAAGAGTGCACGAGTCGATGGAAGTGCGCGAGAAGGTGGAGATGCGCTTGCAACTTCAAGTACACGCATCGTTAATTTTTTTGTGACATTATCAAATAACGAGTTGAAATGTAAAAATAAGAAATAAAACTTCAAAAGATTGGTGACACTTTTGGAATGGATCAATATGCGTTTACTATAAAGGTGAAATGTTGATTAATAGAACAAGAAAAGTACAAATAAGAGAATGTTAGTATTTGATTTAAATTTTCGTCTCGCGCACTTATGAGTAATCTTCGATTAATTATATATTCATTTATTCCATACTCGCGAGTGTTAATTCAGTCATGCCAAGGGTACGATTATTTAAATTGCGCGAGGCATCATTCATTGCTCATGGACTCTCCGTTGGTCGTTTTTATTTTCTCGAACTCCAACAATTGTCAAGTTACACTTTTTGAAATTATGTAACATCATTATAAAGTATGATTTACCATTGTTTCACAGTCATTATGATTTTCCACTTCGTGCCAGACACCGTAATTTGTTAACGTAATTATACCTCGCAAATCATGAAGAATATCACGAAAACAGGCATTTTTCCGTTGGCAATAAAAAATAACAAAAAAAACAAGAAGAGAAATTAGTTGAATGACGACAGTGTCGAGCACTTCATTCTTATCTTGGCGTTCTGTCCCGCAGTCTCAGGCGCAAAAGGTTGCCGATTGTTTCTGGAAATTCTCCCTGCTGTTCCGTTTCTCTCTGAGTTATTTTACACCGTTTCCCGTCTACCTGTGCGGTCCCCTCGCTTTTTCATATTTCACGCGGAAACCCGCGCGCGCGAAGCTTTGATAAACACTAACGTCTCTTTCGGCAAAGACTCTTTTTATACAAGGGTTGAATACGACTATTCACGATTGTTGAAGGCAGGACACGAGCGACAGGAGAGAGAGAGAGAGAGAGAGAGAGAGAGAGAGAGAGAGAGAGAGAGAGAGAGATTATCCTTTAGTGTCATCAGAAGCTGCATTTTTCGAATACAATAACGCTTCAGTCTGCGGAAATGGATTACCCCATATTGAAAAAATAACCGAGCATGGATATCTGTGAGAATTACTTTCAATTTTGTTGCTGTTCGACGTTTCATTTTTACACACTATCGTTGAAACGTACCTGATTTTTCGGCAGCGTACTCTAAATTTTGTACAATTTCATATCAAAAACAGTATACTGAGAGAAATGAACTTACAAAATTTATTAAAACTACAAGAAAAATTGCTATAAAATATAGTAACTGACTGACACAATGTCCTTGTGAGGAATTTTGATATGATAATTTCAATTATTATAATCTTTGTCATAATTTTTATGATAAGCAAACATTGAAATATATTATGGTTCATTATAAAAATTGCTATAATGCATGATAAAAAATAGGATGAACAATATTTGCATTAAAATATCTTCATATTTATTCGTGCACACAATAAATTTCATTATAAGATCGAAAGAATTTAGTTACATAGTTTAGTGAAAAATACTAAAGCTCAAGAAAAATTGCTATAATCATTAGTAATTTTTACTAAAATCGAAAATTACTATCGGATTATAATAAATTTTACTATGTTGCATAGTAAAAAAAGCGAGAAAAAATAGCTATATTTACTGCCACGGGAAAAAAAAACGCGCGCGGCGCATGACAACGCTATTCAGGTTAGGTTCGTCATGCCATTGCCGGTGTTTTGAGTTGTGTCAACATTGCCAGTGCTGATCGTTCTGTTGGAAATTTCGTGTTGACAGTCGTAAGTACAATTAATTTTTATCTAAATACACTGAAATGTAGTTGCTGGTTTGGACAATTTTCAATTACATTTATCACCAGAGCTCATCGAAAATCATTTTCATGATACTATGCATGTTATTTTTTCTAACCTAACTTTCACACTTTTCATATATTATTCTCAGTGAATTGGGTAATTTATTTCGATTTCTATATGACTTTGAGTAATGTTTGTTAAAAATGGCTGATGAAGGGAATTATGTAGAGGTAATTTTGTGGATTCTATAAGCGTTTGTTTCTTGTAAATAGTTAAGCGTACTGACAAATATGCGTAATAGTTACAGAGTCAAGACGACGTTCAGGACGAATCAGGCAATGCAGGCCCATTAAAAGACATCACAAACAACAATGAAATTATTCCAGCTAACATTACAACTAAATAAGTAGAACAAGACGTAGATCAAGCTCCTGCAATTGCCACATATATCAGCACTCTAAGTTTTTGTTTGATTTGAGCCCTTGTAGAAACTTACAGTAGATTATTGGTTTACACGGAGATAGAAAGTTTTGGTATTAAAAAATTCATAGGTAAGAATAACATTGATTTCAGCCGATCAATGTAAAAATGACAATGTCTAATGAGATTTGTAATGTTTTCAGGTCATTTACTGCCGACAGTTTTTAAAGCACACGCCTGGGGTATTCTTTATACCCTTTTAGATATGTTTAGCTATAGGATGCATCACATCCAACCTAATTACAGAGTACAAATTTTGAGTCATTTACATAGCCTTGCTGCTGTACCACAGACTAATCAAACGCAATTACATCTCTGGTAACTAAAATGATTTATTTTTGAAATCTATCTAAAAAATTGTTTAATAAAAGAAATATTAATTTTTCAGTGTTGAGAGTACTGCATTACGGCTAATTACGAATCTCGGCTCTGCAGAAGTTCAACCGCATTTGTCCAGATTCTTGTCTGAACCAAAAACACTTGTTTCCGCTGATTCGGAAGAGCTTAATAGGGCTTTAGTTTTAACTCTTGCTAGATCAATGCATATTACAGGTATTAATGATTATATTTAGTAAAAGCTCTTATAATACTTATTATATTTTCTTTTAATATTATTATCTTTTCTGTTAGGAACTGGTGGAGATGGAAGTGGTACTTGGTGTAAGGATCTGCTTAATATTATTATGCAAAACACGCCGCATTCGTGGGCGGATCACACGTTGCAATGTTTCCCTCCCATTTTAAGCGACTTTTTCTTACAAAATAGTATTTCGAAAGAGGATAAACAACAGATAAAGGTATTCATCTTTTCAAAAATTTCAATATTTTCTCACAAGTATCATCTGTAATTTAAATGTTTTTGCACTTTAGAAAGCCGTTGAAGAAGAATATAGAAATTGGAGTTCAATGAGCAATGAAAACGATATTCTTGCTCATTTTGCTGTTCCGAATTCTCCTCCGTTATTTCTTTGTCTCTTGTGGAAAATCATTCTTGATAATCATCGTATTAGCATCGTATTATAAAGCTCAAGAAAAATTGCTATAATCATTAGTAATTTTTACTAAAATCGAAAATTACTATCGGATTATAATAAATTTTACTATGTTGCATAGTAAAAAAAGCGAGAAAAAATAGCTATATTTACTGCCACGGGAAAAAAAAAACGCGCGCGGCGCATGACAACGCTATTCAGGTTAGGTTCGTCATGCCATTGCCGTCTCATGTATACGTACTCCACGAGCGACGCGGTGTTTTGAGTTGTGTCAACATTGCCAGTGCTGATTTAAGCTATCGATTTATGATCAAAGAAACGGCTGGCCCGACTTTCATGTCCAGGAATTCTAAACTATTATTTAGAAATTCATTACCAGATTTTGAAAAGTACTGCCACTTATTGAACGAATTTGACTTATCAAGCGTTAAAATGGTTTTTTTTATATAAACTTATAAAAAAACATAGTATTTTTGTGTCTGCTTCTTCTTCCGGTCCTGTTTTTCATGAAGTTCATGAAATATTCAAACGGAATTCAAAGCATACTTTTATAACAAAAATATTAGGAGAGCGATCATTTGCATGCCTTTAAAGTTTATACACTTGATAGTTATGATTGGAATAAGGTAGAAGAAGAAGAAGTTCACGACTATTATTTATCTAAAATGGTTATGGCATGCGATGGATTTAATTATATTTAAGAAAATTGGATTTAAAATAAACATATTTTATTATTGGAAGTGTTATTTCTTGTTATTTTTTTCCTCATAAAAAGTTGAAATTATATTTGAATTTTACAGAACCAGTTGAGGTGTGTAAATTTCAAGTCTAACAGTAGATGGCGTCTTCTTTCTCGCGAGTGGCGAAAACTATCGCCACTTCGTATATATAAGGGTTCCAAGTTCTACTTGCACATCAAAATTGCGTGCAAAGTGAACTCGGTATTAGAAAGAAGCGTGTTATATAGGATAGGTAGTTTGAATGATTAGCGAATTTGGCGATCGGCGATTAAAGCGACTCTGTACATTGTATATCAAAAAATCTGGAAATTTAGTACTTAATTGTCATATATCTATACATATAAATGCGCTCCTGTGGAATTTGTATTTTTTCATTTAATTCCTTGACCAGTAAATATTGCTATAATCGTGAACGTTATTTATCATACCGAAAAATGAAGATTTCTTCATGGATATGCTAAAATTTATCACACAAATAGTAAATTTTACTATAACGTATAGTGAAAATTGAAGCAGTAAAATTTACTATAATTTGTAGTAAAAATTATTATATCGCAGATGTGTCAGACCGTTACGATATTTTATAGTAATTTTTACTACAGTTTTAATAAATTTTATAGGTTTATTTCTCTCAGTGTATGAATAAAGTAAAATCGCACATGAAAAAATAATTAAACCGAATTATATTCAATATTTCATATATTTAAAAAAAATTATATAACAAATTTAGGCAATATTACATTTTTTAATTCTTCTAGAACTGAAGCATATTTTTAGCTAGACCTAGAGTTACATAGTGTTCAAAAAGTTCTCTTGTCCGGATGCGGTTTTGCAATCTTCATTGCATTCTACTTGAACCACTATCCCTCTAATATATTGCTGTCTCTTCCAGGCTAAAATAGTATACATTATTTTCAGATACAATATACGATAATATCGAATGCGATTTTTACTTTTAATATTTAGCGTTCACTTACCATTACAGATTCTTCTGCAGTTTACGAATTCTGGATTGGCTTCCCATTCTAAATAGGAAATTTGAGTAAAGAAATCGCTTAAATTTATAAAAACTCAGAAAATGAATTTTTTTTTCACTAACCCCAATTGTGGCGAGCCGTATGGTAAGCAGTAACTAAAAACAGATGGTAACCAATAACCAATAAGGCGAGGAAAAACAATCTAGACCACATTTTTATGTTATGTAGTTCTTGTTATTTGATAGAATACGAGCTCTACTTAATCGAAGGTTCTTTTATACTAGTGATTATGCTAATAAGATGTTATACAAGGCGATAACGACGGTTGAAACAACACACGTGAGATAACTACAATAGAATGTAATAATGAAAAATTATACAAGCGAGATATGAAAACACATTTTGTTTGTACAATTATTCATTTAGTTTAATGAACCAAACTTAATTGTAAGTTATTATAACGAGACTACAATTAGAAATGTAACTATGTTAACTTAAGGTGAAATTACAAATAAGTTCATCGACTCATTAATTTAGCAAACATTTGTACAAACTTTAAGCCTAATGTGAAAAATATCACAATAAAAGAAATGTTATAATAAAATTTGCTATAATTGTAGTAATATTTACTATAAAACGTAGAAAAACTATGGCATATTCTGACTGTAGTAAAAATTGCTATATTACGAACAAAAATTGCTATCTTACATAGTAATTTATCTTACTTTTATAATAATCTTTAAAATAGGTATAACAATAATTGTTACAAATATATTAAATTTTATTATGAACTCGAGTATGTCCTAGTTTTACTATTTTTATAATAAATTTTGTTAGATTATTTTTGTCAGTGTATTTATGGCAAAAATTCATGACACGAAAATAAAGAAATAATGTCAGACGCTTATTGGAACTTATGGTGTTCGTAAAGAAATCAAATTAAACTGAAAATAAAATCTAACATATTATTAAATTGAACTGAAATTTAAAAATTATTGTTTAAATTTTTTAAAATTATTTTTAATTCAACACTTCAACGAAAAGCCACGTACTTCAGCTCATGACATTTTTATGATTAAATAATTACATTCATTCGAACAGTATTTTGTTAAGTGCAATGATAACAAATCTAGTGTTTTGAATATTTATAGAAACTTCAAGACTTAACATGGAAAGAAAAATGCATTCATGGAACATGTCAAATTTCAAAAAAATAATAGAGCCGTTCGAAGCTTTGAGTAAATCATCCTAAAGGGACTGGAAAAGACGTCAAACAGTAGCTTCAGATTTTCCAAGTCTCCCTGAAAAAATCTATTCAAGTGACCGCGACTAAAATGGGATTAAGATTAAGCAAAGCAGCTGAAAATAGTGAGCGAGAGGCGTCGGCGCGTGCTACGTCTAAGCTGATTAGTCGCGTCGTTTAGCTCTCTGTCTTCTTATGACACTTCTGCAGCGAGCGCAGATGCACGGATTATTCGTATGACATCTGGCATAGTATTAAAGCAGATTGGCATTTGGGATTTTAATCCAACTGGGAAATTGCTATTGCCGCAATTACGAACTTCTAATTTTTCAATCAATTGCTAAGAGGCGAGCTTACCTAATTAGATGTAGCATTCCTTCATAATTATTGAGCTATAACGAGAAGACCACCCTAAAAATGTTTATGTAGCTGCCGAAAGCGTCGAACAGCTTGACGATGAATTTTATTATTCATAAATTATCAGCCACCTTACTATTCCTTTTTCCTAGTAGTTTTGACTACCGAATTCTCGGAAATTGTTATTTTTTCTCAAACTAGTCGTTTAATGCTCATTGCTTCGATATTGTCATGTATGTCTTACGACTAAGATAGCTGTACAGTTCATAATCCTTGAGAATCGTGAATGAAAAAAAAAAAATTAATGAAAAATGCAATTATATGTCAATGTTGGAAAAACAACTTTTTACATAATAACTAACATAGCTCAAATGATGCTGATATTCTAATGAAGTAAATCGATATACCGTTGTTGAAATGTCAGTTACATGAACTGTTAGTTTATTAATGTTTGCATTAGAGTCTACGAATATGAATTATTCTTATTTTTTTAATAATCTCTAGTATCATCACCTTATAGAGTTTCTTTGTGAAAGGTAAAACGAAAAGAAAAAAGAATCACTTTAGAACTAAACTTTTTAATTTGAATTACAGAACCGTGAGAAAAAGTCGAACCTCTAATTTTTTTATATGAAAGAATGCAAGAGTTACATTAGAATATTGCAAAGCTTCAGTTTCGTATTTCAACGCCTTCCACGGAATCGAAAAAACTCGATCCTCAATTTTTATAGACTCAAACACTGAGTCGAAAAGCAACCTCTCGGCTATTCCCACATATACTTGCATCCGAAAAAAGCCGTCGACTAATAACTCGGCAGCATCGAGGTTCTTCTTTCTCTTGGGAGACTAATAAAAGTCGCTCCTAAAAATTCTGCGGCTTCTGCATCGGGCACACACCGTGTAAATTGCCTAATTTAGCCGCGGCTTCGCTTTACGGTCAACCCGCGCTCGCTTCTCGAAATAATTAGCTTTTTTATCTATTTTCTCTCTTTTTCGCGCTCGCACACGTCTGTAGAGCTTAGAAACTTTTTGTTTACGATTCGTAAAGTATGCAGAGTAGATTGAACGTCCTGGGAGTTGTAAACTTTGTTCGGTAACGAGATATTTTTTTTATGCGAATATGATGGGCTTTTCTTTTTTTTTTGAGATACTAGTACACTCATGGGCTATATAAAGCGGCTGAAGGCACGATGAACCCAAGGGGTACCAAAATCAATAAGGGTAATTATAGCTCTGACGCGACTCAGTATACATATAGGTCACTTCCACATAAAATTCACGTTCGTATTTTTGCCTGAAACCTACCACTACAAAATTGCATTCTTATTGGGTTTGTTGTGTCTTTTTTTTAATTTGTAAATTTTATTGACGACAGCGAGAAGATTGAAAAAACCGCAAGTTTGAAATAGACTACCTTATTTATGAATAGTTATCATGTCAATGTATGTCTACACGAATCGTTTATATTGTATTTATTTTTAGCGACTCAATTTATAACCAAAAATACAAAGCTTCGATTTAATGTTATATATATTCTCGGGTTGAGAACTCATACAATGGAAGTGAATTTCATATCGACGGACACTCCTTGCTGGCCGATTGAATCGAAAAATGCGCATTGGTGCGAAAAATTACTCAGTGTCCATTTTGACAATGTTCTTCTTCGCGCAGCTGTCTAATCAAATTATTTGCACCTTGAACACGATCAATTTCTTTTTCCTTGTGCAGCACTATGCAGGGAAGATAGTCTAAAATTTTGTACGAAGTATACGTCATTTTTTTCATTTGCTTACAAAGGGTTTTCAGCGACGAAAAATAAGAGACTACTTACTTATAGTTAATGGTATTAGAGAAAATCATGGCAAAGCAGGGTACCAGAAAAAGTTAGGTAGCCTCATGATTTTCTTTTTTTGCGTCACAAGCATTTCAAGGGGTGTAATTCCGACAGAAAAACTCAGTCGGTATTATAGGTCGAACTAGGAGTGATATTATTTTGACTATAGTTTTTACAATTTTAACGACTTTTCAACTCCAAGTTTAAACAGTGTAAAGCGAGATACCGTCTTATCATGAGTATTGTTTCAATCTCATTTAAAATGAATGAAATACATAAATGAATGTACGTTGGCTATAGTTTCAAGTTTATTTTTGAATAATTGGTAAGGAATAATTAGGTCACTAAGTTGCGAAAAATATCAGCAAGTTGGTGTCAATATACGTAAGTAAACGCAGAGACAGTCGTAGCTTCAGAGTTGTTCAATTCTTTTGAAATCAATGAATTTTTTAAAAAGAATCCGTCGTTAGAATTTGATTCGCGTGCGTATGAAGACAGTTATTACCGATTTTCGTTGATACCTTGCTTTGCTTGGCTTTTTTTTTAAATTCAATAGTTGACTTGTTGTGATTAAGAGCTCTGAGAATGAATTTTTAACATTAAAAAATTTTGGCCAATTCGACCAGATTTATATGAAGAATGAGAATTCGTCGTTAGT